GTAGCATAATGAGTTCAAGTTAAAATGATTTGCTGTTGAGAACAAGCCACAGAATACATATTGTCAGGAGAGGTGCTAGCAATACACTTCTATGTTAACTGCTTGGGATTGTGTTATATAATATATAGGAATAGGTTCTAGTACATAGGAGTGGGTTCTATTTGTTGCTGGTTTTGATGGTTAGACTACTTTCCCTTGAACTTACAGCCAAAAACAATTGAAGAAAGTAATGTTCACTCCCAAAGGTTGTTCCATTGAACTAATGCAGACATTGGTTTTTATTTGTACTGCTTTTTTGGGGAGGAACTTCCCTTTCAGAGCTTTGATGTTAAATAACTGAATGAGAAGTTGTTAAATTGTAGCAGTCTGGAATACATTGAAAGGAGGTATCTGAATTAAGTTTGAGGCAGAGGAGTTGTCTTCTAGAGTGGTTATTAGTTCACTTTACCTTTACAACAGGTTTAATAGTGTGTGCTGTAGATGTGCTGCTATTTGGTCAGAACTACTAAAGGGAACCTAAAGCCATACGTGATTGCTTAGGATACCAGTTTGTTATGTGTTGATGCCCATGTTGCTAGCCAAAGCCACAAGCATTTTTGCCATTTGATACTGTACTAGTGCAAGGCATATTATTCATTGGCTTTGCATGTCTGTCACCTTTCATAAGGCAAGAATGTCAGCATAAGGTGCATCCAAGTGAAATGGAGTTACTCACAAGAAATAGAGTAGCAACTGTTGCTATTTGCAGTCCAGTGATCTTTCCTCTACACTGTAATCTTGGACGACAGCCCTGCTCAGGGACACAGCATCTCATAGAGGAGTGATTTAGTTTAATCTGTAACCACATTTTCAGAGATTTTGGTGAAAGATGATACTAAGTTCATGGTTGAAATGAGAAGAGATGAGGGTGTAGTATTATTGGTACTTGTCACAGGAGGAAAGGGAGGAGCCCCAGTCTCCCAAAGCATAGCCTAACTGGCATGAGTATGTGAGAAATAAGCTTCCTTTGTTTAGGATGACTGGTATCACGATGTAAATCATCAAGGAAGACTGTCACTATGCTTGTATAGCTTTTTTCTTTGTAGTTTTTTGTTTGCACATACATCACCCCCAAAGGCAGATTGCTGCTTCAGGTACAGAAGGGTGTGTGTAAATCTATGGTGGTTCATCCAATTTTTATAGCTCATGAGTATGCCTTTTTACAGTCCTTACTTACACAGATGGTGTTGAAAACAGCTGCTGGAAAGAATAGATGTAAGTATTTCCAGCACTGTAGTGCTGAAAAGAAGAAAGCAGTAGAAATTCAGTCCTGCAGCAAGAGCTGTGCTTATAAATTACCTTCCTCGAAATACAGAAGCTACAGACATGGTGCATGCCTTCAAAATGACAGCTGAATCCATTGTGTATTACGCCCCTTCCCCAGCAAAGGTATAGGAAGTTGCTTTTTTGCTGGGAAAGAAAAAAACCCGAAGCAACAACCTAAAAGGTATTTGGAAGAGCTGTCATTATTTGTGGGGAATGCACATGTGGGGGTCATGTACTGAAATAATAAAAGGATCTAAGAAAAGGAAAAGAGCATAAAATTTACAGATGTGCTGATATGAAGAGACAGGGGTTTTTGCAAAGCGTGTTCATTCTGGTATTTGTAAAGTGTTTAGTGAGTTCACTCAGCTGAAGATTCCTAGATTCTTATGTATGAATTCCTTAGGAAGAAAATGAAGTAATGTGTGAATTTCATAGGCTATCATGTATTATAGGGAAGTTCAAAGAGGAAGTGTACACAAGTTGGGATGGGGTTCCTGTGGGATTAAGTGGCTATATACAGCTAGAACATTTATGAGTAATACTGTTGGTTCAATTAATATCAGTCTTATTAACAATCTGTCTGTAGGCTTTGTGCATATAAAAGAACACTGGAGTAAACCATGCACATAATCCATGAAATGTCTCTAAATGCAACTTTCTCATCTTTCTCCATGCCCTGAAAATACTGAGCTTCTTAAAGAAAATCTTCTGCAATGAGCTCCTGTACTGTGTAACATGTATTTCAACATAGACTTGAGTTGTGCTGCTATGAAACCACCCGGGATTCTTGAACTGTGTTCTGCATCTTCCTTCTTGCCATTATCATAGAATCCTAGAATGGTTTGGGTTGGAAGGGACCTTAAAGCCCATCCAGTTCCATCCCCCTGCCACAGGCAGGGAGATCTTCCACTAGAGCAGGTTGCTCCAAGCCCCTGAGTCCAACCTGGCCTTGAACACTGCCAGGGATGGGGCAGCCACAGCTTCTCTGGGCACCCTGTGCCAGCGCCTCAGCACCCTCACAGGGAAGAACTTCTGCCCAAGAGCTCATCTCAATCTCCCCTCTGTCAATTTAGAACTGTTCCCACTTTTCCCATCCCTACAGGCCCTTGTAAAAAGTCAGCAGCATTCCTTCTAGGATTTTTTTCCCCTTGATTTGTTTCAGATTAGGCCTATGGAAATATAGTGTTAGGAAGCTGTGAGTCTGTTGCTTCAATCTTGTTACTCCTGTGCAGTGTGGCAATTCTGTGAATACTCAAGATTTGCAGATCAAGTTGAGGGTCAGCAAGTCATTAATTATGGTCCTAAATGTCAACTTAGCTAAAAGTTTGAATTTTGTTTCCTATAGGTATTATCAATCCAAAGAATCCTAAGGAAGCACCAAAGTCGTTCAGCTTTGACTACTCTTACTGGTCCCACACATCGGTAAGTTCTTTTACAAGAAAACCATAGGGGTGTGTTGGGTTTTTTTTTGGGCGGGGATGTTGACTGCCTGGATTTAACTACATTTTCCTCTAATCATGCCATCCCAGTCAGATGTTTCTGCATTGTCTCATCCTTGTCATTGTATGTTGACTTGTCCTGTTTGGGGGAGAGCAGAAAGCTGCGCTCCTGGAGTTCCACAACAAGTTGTAAATGTTTGAAAGGTTACTGCAAATACTCTCCACGAATGTTCTGTTCTTTAAGGATGTGTATGAATCACAGTTAATTCAGTTTTGCCCCTAGATAAGTGAAAGCTGCTTAAGTTCTTACAGCTCAAGGTGAGATGTGGTCTGGGTTCCTTTCACATATCTGGAAAAGGCAGAGGAATGATCCATGTTTGTGATAGCTGCAAAAGCAATGAACCCTCATCCAGCTCCTCTGCCCCACCCTGCTGCGAATTGGTGCTGAGGTCTTGCTGACTTCCAGCAATTGTTCTACAGCAGAACTGTGTTGTTCTGCCATCTACCCCTCCCCTGCCTTATTTTCTCAAAAGATATAGAAAGAAGGGATAATTAATCTCTCTGATTTTTGTAACTTGGATGTTGCAAATAAGACTTAATATTTCTAAGCAGATCTGTGGCCAACAAGATTGTTTTCATGATGAAAAACTTGGATTTGTGCAGCTCTTTTACTGAATTTTCCAGAGCAGCCATGCAAGTAGATTACAGGATCAGTTAGAAGAACGTTATGAACTTAATTCCTGAAAATTAGCAGATAAGCAGCATCAAAGAAAAGTGGTCTTACAAAATCTTGATCTCATCATTAGAATGTTGGCACATATAAATTTGTCCTGATTTTAGGAGACTGTAATGTTAAAATCCAGCATTTCAGGAAGAGAGTGAATGCTAGATTAACATAGTCAGATATGATATAGTGATGTACTCCTACAAAATCAAGTTTCAGTGTTATGTCATCTGTGGAGTCTCTTCTGGTTTGTGCAACATAAAATGTCTGTGTAGATAATCATTACTATGATGGTTTTTTCAAGTATATTTATCAAGGGCTTTCCTAAATCATCAAGACAGGAACAACAAGCATAGACACTGACTCCAGCTTTCTGCCACTGTTGTTGTGTCTTGTACCATGCCTGGAACTGCACCTTGGATTTTCTCCAGTGACTGGATATTGGTGTCTGATGAATAACAGTGCCTGAAACACACTACTTAAAAAATAGAGAATTCATTTTTACCATTCATGAAGCTTTGAACAAGTTCTGTATTTGCCTTGAGATCTAGCAAGTGTGTTTTTGACACCTTTAACTTGTGATTTCTTTGTGTAGTCACCAGTGAGATTGTAAATAGAAAACTGTATTGAATTAGACAGTGGGATCAGACAGCTGTAAGAAAAACATAGTCATTTTAATGGTTTCTTTACACTCAATCTTAAAAAACCCAACAACCAAACCAACCTAAGCAACTATTGCTTCTCTTTTTCCCCTGCTACCCTTCAGAACCCTTGCCAAGACCAGCCACTGTGGGTTTTTTTTTTTGTACCTTCCAGTCCTTTATTCATGTGTATTGACTTTCTGAACTCTACTTTTGGTTTTCTCCCTGACTCCCTCCTCCCAGACACCCTGAATCTCATTTGTCAGTGATCTTGCTCGAAACTTTTCCAATAGTGTCAACAATGTTCACAAAACAGAATAGGTTGGTTTCTTTGTGCAGATTGTTTCCTTAGCATTGATGGAGTGCTCCTGTATTGTTGTTCTTCTGCATCTGGTACTGCCTTGGGAAAAAGCATTTGTGTATATTTGCTTCTTCCTAAGGGATTGGCCCACAAAGGAAAAGAAACAACCCAGTTGCTTTTTGAAATGTTACTTGAATAATAGGATAAGGCTGTATTTATGCTGTTTTCATGTCTTTCCAGCCTGAAGATCCTTGCTTTGCATCTCAGAGCCGTGTGTACAATGATATTGGGAAGGAGATGTTGCTGCATGCCTTTGAGGGCTACAATGTATGCATTTTTGCCTATGGACAAACTGGAGCTGGGAAATCCTACACAATGATGGGCAAGCAGGAGGAGAGCCAAGCAGGCATAATCCCCCAGGTAAAGCAGAACCCAGAAAGGGGATTTGGTTTTATAGTATGTTCAGGCACGTGCTTGCTGGTGCAATCCTTCTATATTGCATAACAGTTAACAGAGAACCACAGGTTATTCTGAGGAGAAAGAAATCTACTGGAGAAAAAGCATTATAAGTAATGTTCCTCTCTGTTACTTTTTAAACTTGTACTGTCCACTCTGTGTATTTTTCTTCCGTGCAATTTCTCCACTTTGCCAGCAAACTAGCAAATTAAGATGTCTTGTTCACTGCATTTCTTCTCAGCCTTCAGCTAGGACAGCAGTTAAGACTTTGTATTCAGCAG